GAGGACCCTAGGGTGGTGGTAGGATGGGGTCTGGGGGCTACTGGCGGGTGGGCCTCTCTGAGGAGCGGACACATGAACTAAGCCTTGAATGCTGAGGAAGAACTGAAGGAAGAGCACGGGAACAGCAAGTGCAAAGGCCCTAAGGTATGGAATAAGCCAGCCATTGTGGCTGGAGTCGAGTGGGGAAGGGGGTGGGTGTGAGGTGAGGCCACGAGGTGCATGGGTCTCAGATCAGGTAGGACCCCTTCAGCCACGAAAGGGTTTGTCAGGTGCAATAGGAAGCCATGGATGAGTTTTAAATGGGAATTACATCCCTTTGGCTTTTGTATAGGGATGGACTGGGGGGCTGTGCAGCTGGGAGAGAGTGGAGGCAAGGGCGGCCAGTGAGGAGGCTAGTGCAGTTGTTAGATAACCTGTGGCTGGGTCTGGGGGGTGGAGGTGGAGAGGGATGGGCAGACTTGAGGAGTGTCTTGGGAGCACAGCCAGTGTCCGTACTCCTGGGGGAGATGCGGGGAATACTGAGAAGAAGTTGGGCCAGTGGCCGTGGTTGGCCTCAGGAGTGGGTGAGGAGGCTGGTGTGCGGAGCAGGGGTGGAGGGAAAGGCACAGGGCAACCCGGCAGGCTTTGGGCAGGAGGTAGGGTCTGACTCCTCCTCTCCTGAGCACCTGGCCCGTGGACTGTCAGCCACCAGCGCCCTCCCAAGCCCACTCGAAAGGTTACTGCTCCCTCCTCTCTGAAACGAGGACTTGGGCTACGGTGGAGGGCCTTGCCAGGACGGACCTCTGTGAGTCCATAAAAATACCAGGGTTCCGGTATTAGCTGTGATTAGTCCTAAGACAATTCACTTATTAGTCATAAAAGTGGCAGAAGGGAAAAAATTCCTTTCTCTCAACATCTAGGGATTCCTGGGATGTTCTTTGAATCCAGCCCTGGTCTCGACCTGCCCACATCGCAGCCGCTGGATTCTGCTTCGGGGCTGGGCTGGCACTCGCCACCCTGGGCTAGTTGTTTTTTTTTTTTTTTTTTAATGTGCTTTAGGTGAAAGTTCACAGTGCAAATTAGTTTCTCATTCAAAAATTTATACAAAATTGTTCTGTGGCATTGGTTGCAATCCCCGCAATGTGTCAGCACTCTCCCCCTTTCCCTGTCCACCCTGGGCTCCGTGTGTCCAGTTTTTCTGTCCTTTCCTGCCTTCTCGTCTTTGCTTTTGGGTAGATGTTGCCCATTTGGTCTCGTGTACTTGATAGAACCAAGAAGCATATTCCTCACGTGTGTTATTGTTTGTTTTATAGGCCTGTCTAATCTTTGGCTGAAAGGTGAACTTCGGGAGTGGCTTCAGTTCTGAGTTAGCAGGGTGTCCAGGGCCATAGTCTCAGGGACTCCCCCAGTTTCTGTCAGACCAGTAAGTCTGTTTTTGTTTTTTTTGTGAATTTGAATTTTGTTCTACGTTTTTCTCCTGCCGTGTCCAGGACCCTCTATTGTGATCCCTGTCAGAGCAGTCGGCGGTGGTAGCTGGGCACCATCTGGTTCTTCTGGGCTCAGGCTGGTGGAGGCTGTGATTCATGTGGTCCATTGGTCCTGTGGACTAGTCTTTTCCTTGTGTCTTTGGTTTCCTTCATCTGGGCTGGTTTTCCTACCTTGGGCCATCTCTTTCGGCTCTTGGTTGTCTTCTGGGGCTATGGCCTCTCTCCTGACATTATTTCTGGGGTCTACGTCTTCTCTCCCTGAATTTCCTTTTGGGCCCTCGTGACTTGTCCTTGACCGTGAGTTTTGTTTTCAGCGCGGGCCGCCTCTCTATCCCTTTCGGTTGTCTTTCGGGCCTGTGGCGTCTCTCCTTGACCCAGGTTGTGCTCTGATACTGTGTCATCTCCTGACATGGATTCTGTCTTGGGCTTGTGCCTCTACCCTGACCCTAGACCGGGTCCGGGCCTGGCTTATCTCTCCACTAGCTGGGGGCATGCTCTGACCCTGCACCCCCTCCCTGCCCCGGTCTAGGCCTGTGTTACAGCCTGTGCTCTCAGTCTCAGCCCCGTCATGGTGACTGTGTGTCTCCTCCTGTGTCAGCCCCACGGGGAGGCCTCTGCTTGAATCTGGGCTTGGGGGTCCCCCCTACCTGCCCCCAGCCTTTGATGCTGGGGCCCAGTAGAGGCCTGAGGGATGGAGTCAGCATGCCTGCAGGGGGTGCATCCTGGCAGCTGGGTTCCAATGCCAGGGCCCCGAGAGCTGGGAGACTCTGCGCCCACCCACCCCATTGTACAGATGAGCAAACTGAGGCCCAGAGATGAGAAAGCTCCTGCCCGAGGTCACCCGGCAAGCCTGGGGCAGAGCAGGGGCGGAAGCCAGGGCTCTCACTCCCCAGCCTGCCTCCTCTGTCACGCCTGTACAAATGCATGGGCGAGTGTGCCATGCCTCTCACGTGTCTGCTCCTGTGCACGCGTGTGCTGATGCATGTGTCCTGCCTGCCTCTCAGTAGATGGTGTGCATCGTGGGCAGCCTGGGTTTGGCATGTTCGTGTGGTCACGGCCATGGAGTGTCACGTTGGTGGGGTGTAGATGTGGCTGCCTCTGTTTGCGTGTACAGTACGTATGCATCTGTGGTGTGTGTATGTGTGCAGTGCAATGTTCTCCCAGTCTTGTGTCCAGCCCACGGCTAGAGGCTAGCTAATGTCCACTGGGCCAGAGCCGAGATGGCCCTTGTGGATCAGACTGTGCATTCCGAAAAGGATTCTGGGTGTGCCAGCCAGGCCCAGTCCAAACTCTTCTCTCGCTCCCTCCCCACCCACTCCCCGGCCTTCCCCACCTCAGACCTGGACCCAGGCACGCCCCCCCCCCCCTTGTGTAGGAACTTCCCCAAGGACCTCCCTGAGGCCATTCTTCCAGTTGAGCCAAGCACCCAGTGCTGTGAGCTGGGGGTGCCTTCACCCACATATCTCACGGCTTGTGGGAATCCTTTCAGAGGTGGGAGAGCACAGGTCATGTCCCTGCTTTATGGTCCCCAGCTTCTGCCTCTTCTCACTGAAGTCTTTACCTCTCCTTTCTGAGACTCAGTTTCCCAATTTATAAAGCGGGAGTAACACAGCAACCCTCTAGAGCTGTTGGGAGAAGTATAGAAGGTTTTATCAAGTGTTGCATAGCATGAGGCCGGGCGCGTAGTAGGCACTTTATGAAAGTCACTAGTAACCAACCAGCTGCCACTGACTCGTGGCAACTCCGTGTGTTGTGGAGCGCAGCTGTGATCCATAGGGTTTTCAACGGTTGTGACGTTTCAGAAGCAGATCACCAGGCCTGTCTTCGGCCACTGTTACGACTAATATGTGAATTGTCTTAGGGCTAATCACAGCTAATACAGGAACCTTGGTATTTTTATGGACTCACAGAAGGTCTGTCTTGGCAAAGCCCTCCATGGTGGCCCAAATCTTCATCTCAGAGAGGAGGGTGAGTTCAAACCACCAACCTTTCGGTTAGCAGCTGTCTTAGTCATCTAGTGCTGCTATAACAGAAATACCACAAGTGGGTGGCTTTAACAAAGAGAAATTTATTCTCTTACAGTCTAGGAGGCTAGAAGTCCATATTCAGGGTGCCAGCTCCAGGGAAAGGCTTTCTCTTTCTGTGGGCTCTGGGGGAAGGTCCTTGTCATCAATCTTTCCCTGGTCAAGGAGCTTCTGAGCACAGGGACCCTGGGTCCAAAGGATGCACTGTTCTCCTGGCTCTTGTTTCTTGGTGGTGTGAGGTCCCCCTGTCTCTCCACTCGCTTCTCTCTTTTATATCTCAAAAGAGGTTAGTTTAAGATACGACCTAATCTTGTAGATTGAGTCCTGCCTCTTTAACATAACTGCCTCTAATCCTGCCTCATTAACGTCATAGAGGTAGGATTTACAACACAACATAACTGCCTCTAATCCTGCCTCATTAATGTCATAGAGGCAGGATTTACAACACATAGGAAAATCATATCAGATGACAAAATGGTGGACAATCACATAATACTGGGAATTGTGGCCTAGCCAAGTTGACACACATTTTTAAGGGACACAATTCAATCCATGACAGCAGCCGAGCCGAGTGCTGAACTGTTGGCACCACCTTAATGAATGTTACCTGTTGGTACAGTAGTCCCCCCTTATCCGCGGGAGATATGTTCCAAGACCCCCCCGTGGATGCCTGAAACCAGGGATAGTACCAAACCATGTATGTACTCTGTTTTGTCCTATACATACATACGTATGATAAAGTTGAATTTCTAAATTAGGCACAGTAAGAGATTAACAACAACAATAATAAAATGGAGCCCTGGTGGCGCAGCGGTTAAGAGCTATGGCTGCTAACTAAAAGGTCGGCAGTTCGAATCCACCAGCTGCTCTTTGGAAACCCTATGGGTCAGTTCTACTCTGTCCTATAGGGTCACTATGAGTTGGAATCGACTTGACAGCAATAATAAAATAGAACAATTATAACAGTATACTGTAATAAAAGTTATGTGAATGACACAGTGGGACGGCGTGAGATTTTCATCATGCTACGTACTCATTTAACGTTTTCAGACCATGATTGACCACGGGTAACTGAAACCTCGGAAATCGATACGGTGGATAAGGGGGGGGGGGGGAATTACTGTAATTGTTAAGTCAGAAGAGAAAGCCAAGGCCCATAGAGGACGTCAGAGCAGGTCTGGGCCAGGCATTCCAATTCAGACTTTCTGCATGGGGCCAGGGGGCGGGGCGAGGGTAGGGCCATGTCCGGATCAGAACTGGGCCTTCATGCTGAACTGGACAGGACAGGAGGGGTTGGATGGGGCAGGGCAGCGAGGCAGGAGGGAGACCAGAAGGGCCTCTTACAGCAGATGGAGAAGATAACAGCTGCTTTCAGGCCACAGTGGACTCTCGGTATCAGTCCAGCCTCTGACCCCGTCTGTTCTCTGTCCCTCTCTTAGTGCATCTCTCTCTAACTGCCCGTCTCTGTCTCCCTGGCCCACTCCCTGCCTCTGCCCTGCTTCCCCTCCAGCAGAAAGCAGACCTGGCTGTGGCTGCGTTCACCATCACGGCTGAGCGGGAGAAGGTCATCGACTTCTCTAAGCCCTTCATGACCCTGGGGATCAGCATCCTCTACCGCGTGCACATGGTTAGTCATCCCTGGCAACTCTGGCCGTTGCCTGGCGTGGAGGTCGGGGTGGGAGCCTACAGGTGTATGGTAGGGGGCAGCTTCCCGCGTTCCCAAGGGCGTGGTGGGGACTGCAGGCTGGACGGCCTGGCTTTCAGTGACCTTGGAAGGGTGAGTCAGGCTCCTGGGTCCCAGGAGGAGCCAGGGGTTGGGAATGCAGCTCAGGTCAGGGTGGCTCCGGGTCTCACTCCCTCTCCCCACAGGGCCGCAAGCCTGGTTACTTCTCCTTCCTGGACCCCTTCTCCCCTGCTGTGTGGCTCTTCATGCTTCTCGCCTACCTGGCTGTCAGCTGCGTCCTGTTCCTGGCCGCCAGGTGAGTCCCCGACTGGCCACCTGGGAAGGAGGGCGGGAGCCCATGAGCCAGGAGCCTCTGTGGTTGACCAGCACCTTCTGTCTCCTGGCCCAGCCTGCTCGCTTCAGCTTCAGGGCCGCAGATTCCTCGCACCCTCCTCTCTCCCTTTCTTGCTCAGGCTCGGAGTCTCATTGTCTCCCTCCGTGGCCCTGGCTTGTGTTCTGTGGCCCTCTCTCTCTGGGCCTCTCCCCTTCCTGGTCTTTCTATCCCTCTCAGCTTTTGCCTCCACTGTCTTCTCTGTGTATCTCTCTCTGTGTGTATCTCTGTGTGTCTCTCTGTGTCTCACTCTATCTCTGTGTCTTTTTCTGCCTCTGCTGTGTCTCTCTCTCTGTCTCTCTGTGTGTCTCTCTCTGTGTATCTCTGTGCATCTCTCTGTGTATCTCTCTGTCTCTTTCTGCCTCTGCCGTGTCCCTCTCTCTGTCTCTCTGTGTGTCTCTTTCTCTGTGTATCTCTCTCTGTGTCTCACTCTGTCTCTGTGTCTCTTTCTGCCTCTGCTGTGTCCCTCTGTCTGTCTCTCGTTTCCTCTCCTTTTTCTCTCTCTCTCTCCGTCTCTTCTATTCATGGTGTCTCTGTCTCTTCTCTCTTTCTCTCCTTTTCCTCCCCACCTCACCACCCCTCCACCCCATGTCTCCCCACAGGCTGAGCCCCTACGAGTGGTATAACCCGCACCCATGTCTGCGAGCACGCCCCCACATCCTGGAGAACCAATACACGCTGGGCAACAGCCTCTGGTTCCCCGTGGGGGGCTTCATGCAGCAGGGCTCAGAGATCATGCCCCGGGCGCTGTCCACGCGCTGCGTCAGCGGAGTCTGGTGAGAGGCCCCGCGGTCAGCACCCCGCCTGGGGGTGGACGGGGTAGGGGCTGCCGTGGTCCCCCGGGAGGTTCCCTGTCCCCACCGCGAGCTGTGTGACAGCGAATGGGGTGGTCAGCCATGAGACCCTGGTGACCTGCCATCCCCTCTCCATGCCTCGGTCTCTTCATCTGAAAAATGGGAATAAAAGGGCCTGTGACTCAGGGCTGGAAGAATTGGGTAAAGTTATGTATGGGAAGTGCTCTGTGCCCGGAACAGCCTTCTGCTGGCTCGAAGGGTTGTAATCATAACAGGATCCGTGTTGCTCTTGCTTTCTCGGATCATCACCCTGGTGGTGACAGCGAGTTAGCGTCCTCAGGCTGGGAGAGCCTCCACTGTCTGGAGGCCAGCACTGAGGCCCAAACAGAAACACCAGCTCCCTGGAAGCCTCACGGGGACCTGAATCTTGGACAGAACTTATTTTGCCCTGAGACAAGCCCCAGAAGCCACATGTCAGAGGGCAGCCACCCACCTCTCATGGCGCCTGGCCCACAGGTTTTGAAAATTTTGAATCAGTTGCCGACATTTAGAAGGTGGGCAGATTTACTCACAGACCCAGATTTTTTACCCTTCTTGCAAATTCGGAAGATCTGCTAATGCTTGGCCTGCGTTCCCATCTGGGTCCGTCCATGTGTGGAGCTGAGCTACCCCCTCTGTGGGCGTGCCTGTCCGCTGGCCTCGGTCCCCACGCACCTGACTCCTCTAGCCCACTTCAGTCGCTTTCCGGCCTGGCCTCCGTGCCGTTTGCATTTACTACCTAGGTGTCCCAGGGCTGCTGTAACAAAGAACCATAAACTGGGTGACTTGAAACAACTGAAGTTTATCATCTCACAGTTCTGGAGGCCAGGAGTCCAAAATCAAGGTGTGGGTGTCTTAGTCATCTAGTGCTGCTATAACAGAAATACCACAAGTGGTGGCTTTAACAAACGGAAATTTGTTTTCCCACAGTTTAGGAGGCTGGAAGTCCAAATTCAGGGCGCTGGCTCTAAGGAAAGGCTTTTTCTCTCTGTCGTCTCTAGGGGAAGGTCCTTGTCTCTTCAGCTTCTGTTTCCTGTTCCTTGGAGATCTCCTTATGGCGTGGCATCTATCTTCCCCCATCTCTGCTTGCTTAATCTGCTCCTTTTATATTTTATAAGAGATGCACTCAAAATACACCCTGTACTAGTCCTGCCTCATTAACGTAACAAAGACAGCCCATTCCCAAATGAGATTATAACCATAGGCATAGACGTCAGGATTTACAACACATATTTTTGGAGGGCACAACTCTTATCCATAATGGTGGGCAATGTTGATTCTTTCTGGAGGCTCTGAGGGAGAGCGTGTTCCTTGCCTCTTTCCCAGCTTCTGGTGGTTTCCCGGAGTCCTTGACATGTCCTAGTTTATAGATGCGTCACTTCAGTCTCTGCCTCCATCGTCCCAAGACTTTCTTCCCTTTGTGTCTTGCTATCTTTGTGTCTCTTCTCCTTCTTCGTATAAGGACACTGGTCATAGTGGATTAGGGCCCACCCTACTCCAGTATGACCTCATGCTAGCTTAAATACAGTCATGTGTCACCTAACGTTCCAGGTACATTCTGTGAAATAGGAAGTTACGTGATTTGGACACTGTATTATATATAGGCAGTCCCCAGATTACAAATAAGTTCTGTTCCTAAATTCCTTTAAGTGAAATTTGTACGTAAGTCGGAACAGTGAAGTATAGTTCATAGCTAATGTCAGTCAAATGTTTGTCTTAGTATATAGTGTACCTTTCTATGCATAAAAAACATTAAAGAAACACTTCCAGATACATCTTTAAGATAATAATACAGTAATAATAATGATAATGTTTCAATGCATGTCACAAAGTAGCAACTGTTTGTTATTGTGAACCATTGTATGTACCTTGAAGTTTTAATATAATAGGCTGTATGGGGGTTGGGACCGTGATGTATATGTGGTCTGACATTGCCCTAATGGATGTTATGCAGCACGTGACTAACTCCATCTGCAGAAATGCTATTTCCAAACGAGGTCACATTCATAGGCACTGGGGGTTTTGGACTTGAGCATACATTTTTGGGGGACACAATTCAACCCATAACACTACCCTTGTCTTGTAAATAACCGCTGGGCTTGAATTGCAGTTCATACAGCCCTTTTCACATCCTTTTCCTCATCAGAAGCACAGAAAGCTCAGGAGAATACTTTGGACAGAGAATGTTCTCCCCGTTTTATCGATTAGGAGACTGAGACCCGGAAAGCAGGTGATTTGCCTAAGAGCATGCAGTCACTTAGAGGCAGGGCATGACCAGGACTGGGGCTCCCTCTCCTGAGCCACGCACCCAGCTGGACCCCAGCCCTGCTCCTGAGGCCCTGGATGAGGCCCTGGTAACGTCTGCATAGCAATCCCAGGCATGTTATGTTCTTGAGTAGCAGAGACAGATTACCCAATAAGCAAGGTATGCATGGGCTTACTTACTAATCTGTAGTGTACAATTTCGCATGCAAAATTGTACACTACAGATTAGTACGTAAACACAAGTAAGCCCATGTGTACCTTGCTTACTGGTTAATCTGCCCTTGTTGGGAGGAATGGTTCCTCCTTGCCTCTGCCCCATCAGAGTTCATGCATCAAGCATTCATTCAACAGATGCTTATCGAGCCCCCCATTTGCCCTGCACTGGGTGAAGAAAACCAGCCCCATCCCTGCCCTCAAGAGGCAGAGGGGCTGAGAATAAACAAGGAAACAAATAAATACGGGGATGTCACATTTTATTCCCAAAGACACTGTCTCTTTCAAAATTTGTTGAAGTCAAGACTAACCTTAATGGGTGGTAGGTTTCTCTCTCTCCCAGTAAGTGGAACTAACTGCCATGTGGTAATAGTTAGCAATTCACGTGGTCCACTGGCTTCAAAATTCTAGATTCTTGATGATTTTTCTCTTAACATTTGTGATTTGCATCATTTCAACTGTTACACCCTGTATTGGTTTTCAGTCGCTGCTGCAACAAATTACCACAAGTTCAGTGGCTTGAAAAAAACACAGACTTATTATCCTAACAGTTCTAGAGGTGAGAAATCCAGAATGGGTTTCAATGGGCTATAATCACGATGTTGGTGGGGCTGTGCTTCTTCTAGAGACTGTAGGGGAGAATCTGTTTCCTTGTGGTTTCCTAGCCTTTTCCAGCTCCTAGAGGCTGCCCACTTTCTTTGGATCACGGCCCCTTCCTCCATCTTCAAAGTCATCCGTGTAGCATATTCGAATCTTCACTCTCTGACTCTGATCTCCTTTTTCTACTTACAAGGATCCTTGTGATTACACCAGGCCCATCAGGATAATCCAGGATAGTCCCCTCATCTCAAAATTCTTAACTTAATCACATTTGCTGTCTTAGTTAGCTAGTACTTCTATAACAGAAATAGCACAAGTGGATGGCTTCAACAAACAGAAATTTATTCTCTCACAGTTTGGGAAGCTAGAAGTCTGAATTCAGGGCGCCAGCTCCAGGGGAAGGCTTTCTGTCTCTGTTGGCTCTGGGGGAGGGTCCTTGTCATCAATCTTTGTCTGCTCTAGGAGGGACCCTGGATCCAAAGGATGCGCTCCGCTCCTGGCCCTTCTTTCTTGGTGGTAGGAGGTCCCTTTCTCTGTTCACATCTCTCTTTTTATATCTCAAAACAGATTGACTAAAGATACAGCCTAATCCTGTAGATTGTGTCCTGCCTCATTAATGTAACTGCCTCTAATGCTGCCTCATTAATATCATAGAGGTTAGGATTGATAACACATAGGAAAATTCCATCAGATCACAAAATGGAGGAAAACCACGTAATCCTGGGAATAATGGGCTAGCCAACCAAGTTGACACAGACTTTGGGGGGACACAGTTCAATCCATGACATCTGCCATGTAAGACAACATACTCACACATTTCAGGGGTTATGGCGTGTACATTGTGGAGAACATTATTCTCTCTACCACAGACCCCAAATGAAACTCACTAGTATTTTCAACCTAATGATGTATCAGATGCACGTAAAATGTGCTACTGGGGACACAAACGGTGCAGTGACAGAGAACGATAGAGAATGAGGTAGGGTGACATCTAGGCTGAGTCCCGAAGCCTTAAAGGTGCCAAGGAGAGAGAGGGTGTTCTGGAAGGTAGGACAGAGCTCGAGTGTGAGGAGGTGGCTGAGAAGGCTCTGAGGAGACCTGCCTTCAAAAATCCAGCCAAGTCTCCATGTGAGGTGGGGGGACCCATCACTGCTTCTCTGCAGGCCACCCCTTCTCTACCTGTTAGAGACCCTCTTCCTCTGTAATCATGATGTCCAGCTGGTGGTCTCTGCCCACTCTCATCACTGCCATCTGGGCAGCCGTGGCCATGCTCCCTCCCTGTTTGAGCCTTTGGCACCTGTCACTCTCTCTCCTCCACCCCAAGTCCTCCCCACATTCACTCATTCAACAAATATTTCAACAAATGTTTGTTAATCCCCAAGTGATACAGGCACCGAGCTTCAGCAGGCAAAGCCCCCACCCTCATGGGACTCACGCTTCAGTGGTGGGGTGGTGGGGGTTTGGTGCCATCATCCTAGGGGACTCGGCTGCCATGTGAACAGCAGCAGTCTGGCCAGAACCTGCCTCCTGGCTCCTCAGCTCCAGTGTCCACCGCGGCCACAACCTCTAGCTGCCACATCCGAGGTCGGTCATCATTCAGGACAGCTCTGCCTCTGAGGTCGAGGTTTCTGAGGTTTCACTCTAACCACAGCCCCTGCCCCTCCCGGGCTCTCCTGTAGTCACTCCAGTGAAGTGAACCCTTGGACCTCCCTCTCTCCTGTTCTTGGAGCCCCGCCTGCTTTCACAGCTGTCCATCTCCGGGGCTTCTTAGACTAGCCCTTCAGCCACTCCTTTGCCAATGTCCTCAACTCCTCCCCAGGCCATTCTTTCCTCACCCATCTCTCCACCCCTCAGGTCCACCAAGG